TTTCGGATTTAAGGTGATGTACAACTGCGATATACGGCTCAGCAATTTCACCTTATTGCTGTCTTCCTTTGCGGTAGGCAATTCCTGCAGCATAGAATCAAGCAGTTCCTGTCCTTTTTTTTGCGAAAAAATGGTTGCCGGAAAAAGCAATACGCATACAATCACCAATAGTTTCATGTCAATAAGGCTTTAGAAAATCCAATGATTCTTTATAACTTCTGCCCAGCGGCAAAGCAATACTGTTTACAAATACTTCTTTGGCAGTAACGCGCTCAATAAAATTTTTCTGCACGGCGTAACTGCGGTGGATGCGCACAAACATTTTGAATGCCTGTTGTTCCAGCAGGCCACCCAGGGTGGACAGCACACAATATTTTTTATGGGGGGTAACAATGCCGGTATAATCTTTCAATGCTTCCAGGTATACAATTTCATGCAATGCTATTTTTACCTGTTCATGTCCGTCTTTTATAAACACCGTATCCGCTCCCAGGGTATAATCCAGTAAGGCGGCTTTGTGCTGTACTGAAAGGTATTGCTGCAGCCGCTCCATAGTTTTGGCAAAGCGATCTGCTTTTAATGGCTTTACCAGGAAATCCATTGCCGCTTTCTCAAAACCTTCTACGGCATAATCCGGGTAAGACGTAACAAAAATGCACACGGGTATATGCTCCAGCCGGTCCCGCAGTTCAAGCCCGCTCATGCCTTCCATATCAATATCAAGAAAAAGTATATCAGGAGGTGTTTTTGCAGCAGCTTCCAGCGCCGCTACAGGCGTGCTGAACACGCCGGTAATATGCAGAAAGGAATAGCGCTTGCAAAAAGACTGGGTGGTAAGCCGGTCTATTTCGTCATCATCTACAATAAAACAGGAATAGGTTTTTTGCATCAGCACAAATTGATTGGCAGGGGTGGCTTGATATTTCAAATTTACTGATTCAGGGTCACTTTATGCTAAAATGATGCGATTCAGTGAACGCCCGTCGTTTTAAAATGTAGTTTATCGATTTACACCTCCACCAGCCTTTGCATGGCAATAAGTTTGTCTCAGCAAACACAAAAATACAAACCACTGTATGAAAAAGCATTACCTGATACCGTTACCAACCGGCCCGGTCCATTTTTCTGGCTATACAGCGCTTGCAAAAAAAATGCCGATACCAAAAAATACGGTGTTTATAGTGGCAGCGCTCACCTGTTTATTATTGAACGGCTGCAAAAAAGACTCCTCCGGCGGTCCCCCCGCGGGCAGTTGTAAACTAAGCGAAGTGGTTACCACCGGTACCGCAGATATTGGCAGTTCCGACCCCTATACGGTAAACACAACCGAGAAACTTACTTATAATGACCAGCACCTGCTCTCTTCCTTCAGCACTCAATCACAGGGCAAATACAGCAGCAATAAAACGTACACCTATAGATCCAGCTACAGTTACCAGTACGATGCCAGTGGCTTCCTGCTGAAAGACATTCTGCAGACCAGCGGAAAGGATGCTGCCGGCAAAACCAATAGCAGGAGCTATACCAACGACTATACCTACACAAACAGCAGGCTCACCAAAAAGCAGCAGTCGTATACGGCTGTAGACGATGGCAAAACCAGCAGTGGCAGCACCACGCATAACTACGAATACAATGGCGAAGGAAAACTGTCTAAGTACAGTTTTGCCTATACCAGTTCGGATGGTTCCAGCGGCAGCTCCTTTACCACGTATGAATACAGCGGGGGCAAACTGTCTAAATTAACCTACAGTGATGGCCGCGGCGGTACCGTTACGCCGCTGATAGAGGTCAATGCACAGGGATTGATGACGAAGAACGTATCCGGCACTACTGATTTCCGCTACCAGTATGATGCCGCCGGTAACCTGGTCCGCACTGAACAGTATAGTGCGGGTAAAAAGACAGATGTGAGTATATATGAAACCGATGGCAAACAAAACGCCGCTGCTATGTTCTATCCTGCATTCAAAGGGCATCCGGATGTAGATTTTTACATGGGTAAAAACAGTACTTACGCTTTTACCGGCAACCTCCTGAAAGATGAACGTATTTATGTGGACGGTGCAGGCGTAGAAAAAACAAGCGCGGGTTTCTATTTTACCTATACCTACAATGCGCATAACCTGCCCTCCACGTCTACCCGTGTTTACAAAAACAGCGATGGAAAAACGATTCAGCAATCGAGCTCCAGCTATACGTATATGGATTGTAATTGAGAAGGAGGAGCTGTATGCTGAATGGCTGAACGCAGCAGCCAGTTAATAGGACACGGTTGATTAGCCTTGCTGCAGCAGGCGCAGTTAACCTGCAACTAAGAATTTTTTAACCCAGCCCGCAACAACAAACCGGATAAAATATTCATGCTGTGGTTGGTTATACGGGGCGGTGCTTCTGGTAGGGCCCGCCCTAATTTTCTAAGGCAATAAGTATATCTGTCCTGGCCCGGGCTTCCTTTGAATGCCCGGGTGCAGGATTTTTTTGGGGCGGTCGTTCATCTAGAAAAAACAACGTTCGTCGATTGGCGCTGCCACCCCCTGCCCCGGCGGTTTAAGTTTACAGTACAAAAAACAACTACCATGAAAAAAGTATTCGCTACCAGCCTGATCATGCTCCTTGTCTTTGCTTCCTGCAAAAAAAGCACTTCCCCGGCAGGTGGCGGCACCACACCCCCGGTCACCGGTTCCAAAACCTGCCAGCTCAGTTTCTGGAAAGCCACTGAAACGGCCAATCCCTATTTTTTTGAATACAACAGCGCGGGCAGACTTTCAAAAGCGCGGGTATATACCAACGGCAATGGCAATCCACCCAATACCACCCAGTTTGAATACGATAGCCAGAACAGGCTTACCCGCAGCTACGACAGCGCAGCACTGGCCCTTAATAACCAGTACAGTAGCACCACAGTATACTCCGCTTACAACGCTGCCGGCTACCCGCAGCATTCGATAGAAAGCGTAAAAGCGCACCGAGATTATGAAACGGACTATACCTACAACACCAAAAACAATATCACCCAGGCCATCATTCAAACCTTTGATATGAACGATGCCCTTTACAGCAGGGATACGGTGAACTTTTACTACGATGCCAGCGATAATTTTCTCAGTGCTATCGCCAATGTAAAAGCAAACGGCGTCCGTACCATGATTACCGGTATAGAAACAGAAGGGTACGATACAAAAAACAATTTCTACAAAAGCCTGGGCATTGAATTTAGCCTGCACCGGATTGCCAATGCTGATGCCATGACTGCCGCAGGTTATTATGGCTACTACCTGTACATGCCCTCGGCCAACAACCCCCTGAAAGTATACCTGCACAACCAGGGACCGGGAAACAAAGGCGATTACCTTACCTACAGTTACGAATACGATGCAGTCACCGCACTGCCTTCCAAAATCAGCTTCATGAACACCAGTGGGGGCATCACCAGGGGGCCTGGTATTGCAACGGCCAGCTATACCTGTAAATAGTAAACACAAACATCCATCACACTAAAAATTACAATTATGAAAAAGATAAGCATCCTTCTGCTGGCGATTGCCGGTATCGCAATTGCCTCCTGCAAAAAGAACAACACTGCGCCCCCAACACTGGCCGACAGCATGAAAAACACCGTTTGGGGCGGGTATTATTTTGACTATACAAACACTTCTGTCAACAGGGCCTATACCATAACGCTGAATGCAGATTACAGCTTCGACTGGTCTGCCAGGAACCCCATACAGGTATTTACCGGCACCTGGAAAGTAACCGACAGGATCATCAGCTTCAAATTTGCTACCGGTGCAAAAAATGAATGGGCAGGTGAGGTATCGGGCAATGCCCTGGTAAATATTTCTGAGCCAATACCCGCTACGTTCAGGTTTGTTAACTGTATGAAAAATCCATAGCATCTATTCCATTTAATAACCACACAACCACTACAATATGAAAAAAATATTTATCGCAGGCATCAGCTGCCTGGCCCTGGCCCTCAGCTCCTGCAAAAAAGACAAGGGCAGCAGCAACGAAACGGGCGCCGCCAGCATGGTAAGCGCCGGGGGCACATTCTCCATGGTATTAAAGCCCGACAGGACACTTTGGGCAAGCGGCTACAATGGCTATGGCAACCTGGGCGACGGCAGCTTTACAAACCGTAACGCCCCGGTAAAAATAGCAGACAATGTTATTGCTATTGCTGCGGGTGTGGCGCATGGTCTTTTTATTAAAACAGACAATAGCTGCTGGGCTACAGGGTACAATAGCCAGGGTCAATTGGGAGATGGCAGTACTGCCAACAGATCAATTCCTGTAAAAATAATGGACAATACAAGAATGGTAGCGGGTGGCGAAGAGTTCAGTCTTTTTGTAAAAACCGACAATACACTTTGGGCCACGGGCAACAATAAATATGGTCAGCTGGGGGATGGCACCAATTTGTCAAAATCAACACCGGTAAAAATTATGGAAAATGTAAAAACGGTGGCTGCCGGATGGCAATTCAGCCTGATACTGAAAACGGACAATACTTTATGGGCTACAGGAGCAAACGACGGAATGCTGGGCGACGGTACAAACATATCCAGAAAAACGCCCGTAAAAATAATGGACAATGTTAAATCAATAGTGGCTGGGTGCAGCTCATTCTATGTTGTTAAAAACAGACAATACACTATGGGTAACCGGTTACAACGATTATGGCCAGTTGGGCGATGGCACCCTGACCAATAAATCCATTTTTTTAAAAATGATGGACAACGTAAAAGCCATTGGCGCCTGTGCAGCACACAGCCTGGTAATAAAACAAGAT